TTGGGGACTGAGTGTGAGCTGACTGAGTGTCCTGGGGCTGCCCTGCCTAGGAGTCCTGAGGAGGGGGACCTGGGTCACCTTTAGGGGTTCCCAGGGCTGGGCTCCTCCTCCCTGCCCACTGCCTTGTTATGGCAGCTTCCCAGAGAGAATGGACTACACCCAGAGGTGGGGAGAGTTATTCCTCACACTGCAGGTCAGCAGATTGTTTTGCAAGGACTGAGCCCAGGTAACACATCTGTGGGTGCTATCAAACTTAGGCAGAAAGTGATGGGGAAATGCCCAGGTCTGACATCCCAGGTAAGCCTTTGCTTGCTGACTTCCACTGACAGGCCTGGGGTGGGATGTAGGGAGCCTGTGGTTGCTGAGTAAGGAGCCTGGCCTCCAAGGCCTGGTCATTTTCTATTTCATAAAGACTTTGGCCAGGGAAAGAATCCCTGAGGTCCATCCCTGATGGCTAAAGAAATGAAGGTGGTGAAAGTAATTAATGCTGAAGTGAATGTGATAGCTAAGCCCTTATTAAAACAGTGATGGCGACTCTACCATACACTGCATGTCACAGGCCAGTGGGGACAGCAGGATTCATTGCTGAAAATGAAAAGCAAAGCAGGTGGACTAAGGTGACGTGACAGAGTTCCTGGTCCTGAGGGGCTCATGTCTGCTTAGTGGGGTTGTGGGATGGTAAGATAGATCAGAAACCCCACTGAAAGGCCTCACCCCTCTTGAGAGGGTCCTCAAGGCACCCAGGGGACCCTACCAGATGCCTGCAGAGGTGCAGGATCTTGCCCACTAGGACCAGGGAAGCCTCCTCGCTCTACCTTTCAGATCTCCCCTTAACCCTTTTTCTCTCCTTGGGGATGGGGAGAAAACATTTCCCCTCCACCGTCCTGCCCTTAGCCTAGACCACTGCAATGAGACAGGTTAATAGGGAAAGCTGGAGGGTCAAATCCAGACAGGCCAGGGCTTCTCATCCTCACTGCACCTGGGCCTTGACCAGGGAGCTGGAAGGGGGGAGGGGGGAGGCGGAGGAGACCACCATGGCCTGGGCTCTGGCAGCCCAGAGAGTTTGGGCCTGAAGTAGCCTACCAGAGCCCAGGAGGCAGAGACCTGGAGACAGCCCTGCACCTGTGGTCTTTGGAGACTTTGCCCTGACCAGATGCAGTTGAGGGGGTGTCCAGGGAAGAAAGGGAAGGGGGAGGAAGCAGGAGAGGCCTCCTTGGCTGGGAGCTGAGGGGCTGGGCTGGTCCTTGCTCTGTGGAGCCTTTGGTGCAGTAACCTGGGGCTCTGTGGTGGGGGCCACCTCTCAGCTGCTCAGAAAAGGTTCCTGGAATTTTGGGATCCTGAATCTAAAGATTATGTAGCTTTGTCCATGTTTTCTCCCCTGAATAGACCTCTGGACCCAGGGTCCACGTATTTGCTTTTCTCTCCCCCATCCCTTTTTCCCCCCACTCCTTTGGTTTGGGGAAGGCAGCTGAGCTGGAGGGGCTGAAGGGGAAGGAGATGTGGGGAAGACTTGTGGACTTCCTAGGGTTGGCCCTAAAGTGCCACGCCTTCCGCCCTCTGACTGGCTAGCTGGCTGGCTACATCACTACTGCCTGGCTCCGGTTTGGCCATCTTGTCTGTCTTGGCCCCCGGCCGCAAATATTGAAAACCAAGTCTGTCAGGAGCACCACCCTGCTTTTCAGCATGGGGATGAGGGTCCGCACTGTTTTGCTGCTGGTTGCCCTTGCCACCTGCCTAGCCCAGGGCGCTGGTGAGTGAAAGGCTAAGGAAAAGGAGTGGGGAGGGCAAATCTGGCGAGAAGTGGGAGGCAAAGAATAGCAAAAGCAAGAAAAGTTTATTGCGCTCTCCGGCAGCGCCTCCGGACCAAGCCAGAGGTCTTGCCCCAGTTGAGGGTTTGGGGGTTTCTTAAGTAGGGTTAGGATGGCAGGGTCTCACATGGAGGAGGGGTCGGGTTGCCAGGCAGCTGCATCCGAGTTACTTTTTCTGTTATGGTGTAGCAGTTTCCTGGAGCTGGGGCAGTGGGTTTTCCTGGCACACCCCGGGCAGTGGTCTCCCTGGGGTGGGGTGGGGGTGGGGCTTAACCTAACAGTGAGGGCTTTATTGCTCCTGGTGGGTGCTGGCCTTCGGGGGTTCTGCTGGGGTCCCCTGCCCTTCTTAGGAGCTCTTAGGAGGGGTGTGTCCTTTGGAGTTCTTGAGGAGGAAGGTGGGGCTGAAAGGCTGGTTGCACACCCACCCCCTCAACCCCCCATATGCTGATCCATTGATACATTGGTAGTATTTAAGCAGTAAAGTTCTCACCTGCTTTCCAGGCAACGCAGCCGCTTAGTCTCCCTTTTAGTCTGGCCTTGCATGTCCACCCCTCCCCTACTCCCTCAATCTTGTCTCCGCCCCCGTTTCTGGTCTCCCCTGCTGCCCCCAGTCTGCTGCCCCCACCCCTACTGCTCCCCTCCTTGCTCCTCCCCCCTCTCTGCTGCCCCCCTCTTGTGTCTGGCCCTGGGTGCCCCTCTCTGCCCCTGCACCCTCCCTGCTGCCTGCTCCATGATACTCTCTCCCCTCCCTACCGCCTCCAGCCAGT